CGAAAAATCGAGATTTATTTTGAGGAGATATAACGATTATTTCTAACCTTAGGGATGAATTATGAAAGGATAAATTGTGAAGAGTAAGGATGAACGGAAAAATAAAGTATCAAGGGATTGAATATGAACCCACAGTGTTCCGCTTACCGAGCAGATCTATGTTCACTAGGGTACCATGGACACTTTTATTTTACAGTTTATCATCACTCTTCACAATTCTTCCTTTCATACTTCATCTCTAAGGTTAGAAATAATCGTTATTTCTCCTTAAAATAAATTTCGATTTTTCGTTAAAAAGAAATACATGCGGGATAGTTTTAAAATGTCGTTCTACAATCATAAGCCGCATCATATTACATATTGCTATAATAAATAAATATTTTTCTAGATATTTTGTGATCATTCAGAAGAAGCGCTATAAATTATTATAAATGTGTAAAGAAACCTCATAAAATTAAATCGAGAAAACAGGTATGTTTATAATTTACATAAATAATTATATTTTAGGATTGATATAATTCATGGTGTGATTCTCAGATGAATTTATTGATTCAAAATATTATAAATAACATTATAATTTATTAATATAAAATTTAGAAAATGTTCACGCCATCTATGAGTCAATATACATATTATATTCTAAATATGATAATTTTATAAGGATTGGGAAGAATACAAATATGTTCAAACTATAAATTCTCCCATACATTATAACTACATTACTCTTGTTGAAGGTGGCAATTCCTGGATATTTCTACGATATAATACTCTGTTATAATTTGTATATTGTTATATTATTGTCTATGCTAATTTGCATCTCTGCCTATTTATCGCAATTTTGTAAGATTGTTGTGTGTTGGCTAGAAGTTCTTGGATAGGTCAGGCATGTCGTTGTAATGTTGTCTGCGCAAATTTTCATATCTGCCTATATATATATATATATATATGGAAAATTTGCCGGGATAAAATTAATCAATAGAAGCAATGGGTGCTTCTCCCGTCAAAATAAACGTCAGAATCTGACGCCATCTATTGACCGTCGCCGCAACTAGCGGCATCGGGTCGGTGACAAAGCCACAACACTAACTTTGACAAACTGATAAGCGTTCACCTAGAGCGGCGACCTAGCGACCATGGTTTCGGGCTAATGGCCCTCGTCAGTCTAGGGCGGACTTTATTTCATGAGATCCATACGGAATCTAATGGAATCCTCACAATCTACCAAAGAGGTGTACCAAATTTCCATCTATATTCTAGCCATAGATTTGGCCCACCCACTTTGCTAGCTAAACACCTCTTTGGCAGAATGTCAAGATTCCATTAGATCCCGTGTGAATCTCATGGAATAAAGTCCGCCCTAGACTGACGAGGGCCATTAGCCCGAAACCATGGTCGCTAGGTGGATACTTCTCAGTTTGCCAAAGTTGGTGTTGTGGCTTTGTCACCGACCCGAGGCCGCAGGTTGCGGCGACGATCAATAGATGGCGTTAAGTTTTGACGTTTATTTTGACGGGAGAGGCGCCCTGTGCTTCTATGGATCAATTTTCTCCCGGCATATTTTCCATCTATATATATATGTCATAAAAGAAAACGTATATTCTAGATACGTTACTTTTCATGCAGTCGTTGATAAAAATAAATGAAGAAAAACCTTTAATGTTTTCCTTAAATTATATTTATTTTCATTATTTCTCAAAGCAAACAGTTTTTCATACAAAGAAAACTAACAACGTTTTTTTTTTTTAATAATAGCAAATTAGGTTAAATTATTATTATTTTTTTTTGGCATTCCTTTACATTTTAAAGATTAACTCTGTGTTTAGTTCTTATTTTTAATTTGATTATTTAAATTATAATTTCAGTTATATTAGGAAAACAATTTTAATAAATATTATGGTTATGTAATTATTTTGTTCTAGAATTTTAATTATATTATGAATAATAAAATCATATTTTTATTATGTAATATATATATATATATATATTATTTAAAAATGCTTATTTTGGATCATAAAGTTTTATTTCCGATATTTCGTGTGGCAACTCGCCAAACTTCTTCGGGGAACAAGATTGTTTTGAATAGCTCGCGTATCAATTCACGAGTATGTACAACTGCTATAAAATTTTAAAATATCTAAAATCTACAATATACATGTTTATAAATATAATTGATAATAATAAAATGATATATAAAATATTAATATAATGAGAATAAATAAATATATACATTTAAAATAAAAGAATTGAAAATCAGTAATTTGTTATATATATAAATGTATAGTAGTGAGCTATATGGTTTTAAATTGTGAGTATAATTGAGGAATGTCTATTTTTCGATTGATACTGTTTTTATCTTCTATTGAGGTCCAGCTTTCTAGAAAAAGTATTGAATGTTTGTCCTTGATATTTTGATATACTATTTCAGTTGAGTCAAAATTTGGTATGTGGTCCTGTTTCAGTGCGTGATCTACTAAAAGGGAAAGAGGGCTATAGTTTTGAAGGGCTGTCCTGTGTTGATTGGTTCTTTCTTCTAGAGTTTTCCCTGTCTCTCCTATGTATGTAGCTGGGCAAGATCGGCACGGGATTCTGTAAATGAGGTTGGATTTTTGATTGTTGTTTGTGTTATGCTTGGTATCGGGATGGCGGAGAAGTGTTTTTAAGTTGGATGGTGTCTGGTATATCGTCTTGATGTTGTACTTCTTGAGGGCTCTACTGATTCTTTTGATGCCGTAGCTGTACGGAAGTGTGCAATATGATTTATGAGATTGGCTATTGGAAGAAGGGATGAATGTTGATCTGTA